TCTTACGGAAACCACACCGTCATCTGCAAGTTGTCTTAGCGTGCATTGTTCTGCCAAACAGTTGTCGATATCTTTGACATAAAAGTTATAAAGAAGAGGGCTGAGACATGAGCCTTGGGGCAGACCCATGTAGCTAATTCTGGAAGTTGTCAGTTGTCCAAGGGAAAAGTTCATTTGCTTTTCTGACAACAAATTGTACAAGAAATTATTTAAAATTCCAGAAAGTCCACATCTGTGCAGATTGTCTGACAGAATTTCAATGGAAACTGAATCAAAAGCCCCCTTAATGTCCAAGAATACTGAAGCCAATTGCTCCTTGTGTGCAAAGGCCAGTTGAATATCTGTGGAAAGCAGCGCTAGACAATCGTTTGTTCCTTTGCTCTTGCGGAACCCAAATTGTGTATTTGATAGCAAGTTATTTGATTCGACCCAGTGATCGAGTCTCCGAAGGATCATTTTCTCCAACAATTTCCTAATGCACGAAAGCATAGCAATCGGACGGTATGAGTTATGGTCAGACGCTGATTTGCCAGGTTTTTTAATGGCTATTACTTTGACCTGTCTCCATTCAGGCGGTACAATGTTGTTTTCTAGCAAGGAATTGAATAAATCTAGCAAGCGTCTTTTAGCGATATCTGGGAGATTTTTCAGAAGATTGAATTTAATCATATCGCTTCCCGGTGAGGAGTTGTTCGATGAAAGAAGAGCCATAGAGAAATCCAGCATTGAGAATGGTCTATCCAGAGAGCCGCCGCTAGGAGACGCTTCTCGAAGAATATTTTGTGCTGGAACTGAGTCCGGACAGACCTTTTTAGCGAAATCGAATATCCATCGGTTGGAGTATTCTTCACTCTCATTGAAAGATGAGCGGTTACGCATGTTGCGAGCCACCCTCCACAAGGTGTTCATTGAGGTTTCTCGTGAGAGTCCCTCGACGAAATTGCGCCAATAACCGCGTTTTTTTGCTTTGATTAATTGTTTCAGCTTTGTCTCAAGCTTTGAATATTCCTCGAAGTAAGTGGAGGTTTTGTGTCTACGAAAAGCTTTGAAAGCATCAGATTTTTCTACATACAATTTTGTGCATTCTTCGTCCCAACCAGGTGTGGCTGGTCTCCTTTTAAAGGGTGCACTTGGAACTTTTCTTTTTTGTGCTTCCAGTGAGCTTTTGTAAATCAAATCGGCTAGGAATCGATATTCTTCCAATGGTGGAAGCGCATCTATTGATTCGACACCGATTGTCACCGCCGTTGCATATTTCTGCCAGTCGATGTTCCTTGTAAGATCAAATGGAACCCGAGATGGTTCTGCAGAGTGAGGGCCACACTTTATTGAAATGATGATTGGCAAATGATCGCTACCATGGGGATCATTGATAACCTTCCACTGACAATCCAATGATAGCGATCTTGAACACAAAGATAGGTCGAGTCGGCTTTCTCGAGCCGGAGGTTTTGCTATACGTGTCGCTTCACCAGTGTTCAAAATAGTCAAATTGAAATCGTCACATAAATCGTAAAAAATAGCCGCTCTATTGTCGTCATATAGATCGCCCCACCCAGTACCATGGGAGTTCATATCACCCAGAATTAATACTGGGGATGGAAGAATCGAAACTAGATTCCAGAGTTGACTACGGCTAATGGAGGTTCTTGGTGGAACGTATACTGAAGCTATGCAAAGATCTTTGTTCTTCACATTTATTTGGCAAGCAACGATTTCGACGCCGGATAGAGCAGGAAGGGAAATTTTGTAGAAAGGGTAGCACTTTTTGATCCCTAAAAGTACTCCTCCATAAGAATCGTCTCTATCCAGGCGTATAATGTTAAAATCGTGGAAGTTGAGTTCTTTATCGGAAGAAAGCCATGTTTCACAGAGAGCAAATATATCACAATCAGAATTGTGAAGTAAAAATTTGAACGAGTCTAGTTTAGGCACTAGACTACGGCAGTTCCACTGTAGCACCGTGATCATATCTTCAACCTCGTTCGACGAATTATCCATCGAAAGATATGATTGATGCAAGGAGGGGCCATGAAACAGTCAATTGCTTAAGATATGATTCTAACGTTGGAAGCAAGGCAGAAACTAAGCTTCTTAGAGGGTCTTGTATGTTGAACATGTTTAATATGAATTCCACAATGTCCGAAAAAGCTAGCAAACCTCGTTCGGACTTGGATTTCTTTTGAGAAGTTTGAGGAGCAGCTTTTTTATTTTTTTTATCTTTGTTGGGCAATGGCGGAAAATTCTTGCTGCATCCAGGGATTGGATCAACAGGAGCCTTCGGTTTTGTTTTTTCATCCCCATTACCCTGGGAATTTGGCAATCGTCTGGAGGTGACTTTAGTTTTCTTACGGCGCACTTTCGGGGAGGGGCATTTTCTTTTTGAGGAACCGTCTATTTTTGAAGGTGCGTGTACCACCGTAGAATCACCTTCATCGGATGAGTCAGAGTCCGATTCTTCAACTGACAAAACCGAAAATTGGTTTGCCTCTTGGACGGCTGATGCAGCCTTCAACATTTGAGCATATGTCTGCTTGGAGCGTCCAGAGATTGAACGCTGCACTTTATCGGAGTGCTGTTTGTACATCGGGCACTCCTGCAAGGGGTGAGGATTCTCGCCACAGTAAGCGCATTTTACTGATTCTTTGTGGCAAGAATCCTCTTTGTGGTTTTCACCACATTTGCCACAACGAGTTTTGTTGCCGCAATGGCTGGCCGAGTGTCCCAGCCTTTTGCAGTTGGTACAATTATATACCCTCTGTACAAACAACCGCACCGGAAAAAAAGCACCATCAATTTTAACAAAGTTTGGGAGAACTGAACCTGCGAAAGTCACCCGGAACGAGTCTGAATGATTATAAACTTTTTTACCGTCTAGCAAAGATGCTGAATGCAGTTGCCTTACATCCAGTATCTTCACTAGCGCGGTAGCGAATGTCGAGTTTTTAAAAGTTCCCGAGGCATGTTTCAAGTCCTCGACAGTCAGACTCGCGTCGGAGACCACGCCTTCTATCTCCACATCTCGAGAAGGGATGTAGATGTTGTACTCAACACTAAACAACTCGTGATCAGCAATTTTATTTGCCACATCATAAGTCGGTGCTTCTACACGCAGTTTGTTGAATCTTTCTTTGTGTACCAAGATTCCCGGATACTTACGCAGCAAATCTCTCGTTATGTCGAGAGTTTTCAAAGGTTTATTTTTGGGCCGAAAAAAGACAACCCATGGTCCTTTCGAAGACGGTTCATAGTATCTGGTTCGCGTAACGTAGGCATCGGAAGATGCCATAAGTGTTGCGCAAAAGCGGTGCGCAACCACTTAAGAAGGAAAAAAAAATAAAACCTTCACTAATTAATTAATTTTAATTACTAGTAATTAAATTTTTTGCCCGACGTACGAACAAATCAAAAAGAAAAAAAAAATCGAAACAAAAAAAAAAACTTATATCTACTTGCAAAAAGTTGTCTCACTATGACCCATACTCCCCTACCAGGGGTGAGAGACAGAGTCACGCGCCACGAGGCAAAATTAAACTACAATAGGGAGGCAATGGACTTGCAAAATGTATTGTCTAATACTTATGCCGGTTGTAAACAACCTATCAGCCGTTGCAGCTAGATGGTCCGTTTGCTGCTGCTGGTGGTGATGATTGGTGTTGGTGGGTCGGCACGATGATGATAAAATGACTTGACGACCGGATGGATTACCGGGGTGGATTAAAGCTGGATGGCAACTCCAAGGGGCTCGGCCCATGGAATTCCACTTCCTCTGTTGCACACTGGTCACTTGGGGCACCCAATGGGGGGGTGAAAAAACCGCTCGGGCGGAAAAAACACCGAAAAAAATTAGATGCCGCGCGACTGAGACCGGGACGTTGTTAACCGACTGAGTGTTCAACTAGGAATGGAATCATCGGTTTGTTTTTGGCACGCTGGGTGGGAATGCTTTCTTGTTTTTTTTTTAGTCGGCACACGATTTGTTACTAATGCCTTGATTTGTGTGCCGTTCCATTGTTTTCGTACCTGTCAAATTGGAATTGCTTGGCGGATAGAAGGAAGATGGTTATCGAAAGCAATTACACGAAACAAATTAAATGATAGTTTGTTTTGAACCATAAACTTTAAACCAAATTTCTTTGGATTGTTCTTGTCATTTGTCATGCTTATTTTGAATACGATTCCCCATTTGTTTTAGGCAAATTAATTGTCATTGAAGAATGATTTTAGTTTATGTAACTTTACATGTTTTCAAACAAATAGCTTTCAAATCATAAAGCAAGCAGATTTTGGAGAATATTTGTCATTTAGAATAAGAATTGCCATTGCTTGCAAATTGGAACCAGACCACATTGAGGTTATAGTTTTTAGGACTTTCGGATTTATTGGTGATATTGAAAGTGATGAAAACAGTCGAAGGTTTTTTTTTTCATTTATCGGAAGCAAATAATCAACCACTCCCGAGCTGCCTCATATCCATCCGGTGCTGGTCGTTGTCGCCGTGGTCATGGTTGAGCCGGTGCTCCGTTTAAGCACCGTACCAGCCACCAAACAACATTGACCATCACACGGTGGTACACGCCAAGGTAGCTGGGAGTGCCGATCGTGTTGCCTTCGCATGTGTTTTTATTTTTCTTAACTTCGTTTTGACAACATTACGTTACAAAAGAAAGAAAATTAAACAATAAATGTACAAATAACGCTTACTTATTTACAGAGGTTTTCTTCTAGGTTGCTGATGTTGCTGTTGTTGTTTGCTAGCTTCAAGTGTCATCGCTGGGTTGTTGGGTGTTTTTGTTTTTTTGACAGCCGATGACACTTTTCTTTAATGTTTTTGTTTTGCTGTTGATGTTCATTTTATGGCAGTTTATCATCGTTTTCCTCACACATTTTTTTCTACTTGCTTGCAAAATTATACTAAGATATGTTTGTTTTGTTTACAACATATGTTTTTTTGATCGTCAATCGTTGGACTGACTGGGTTTTTTAGATTCTTTGCACTTCGGAAGCGTGGTTGCGCATCGCGAAGATGATTCTTATAAAAGCAGTTCGCATTTTCTTATTTCATAATAAGCAAATAAAAATTTGTATAATTTTTAATACGTTTGTGTTCGTTTTGAAATCGTTCTTCCAGTGTTCGATGCCATTGGTCAAAATTGTTTTTTTTTTGTTTTGGATGAAGTTTTGGTGCTTGCTCACAGATGGAGCAGTGGTGTCTAAACTACTTATGAAGTAAAATAGTTTTTTTGTTTAGGAAATTTGTAAGGAAGTTTGCAAATACTGGCCAACTACCAGCCGGTAGGCTGGTAGTAAAGATTGAAATTAATGTAGGAAGAGTGAGTATAATTCACTATAAAAAATTAACTAGAGTTTAAATTCGTTCCTAATAACTTGAGTGGGTTTTGTGAGTGCTTGTCAATCGATTCGATCTTTCGTCGGCGCATTACCTTAGTATCCCTGGAATCCACCCTGCTGGCCCTGGCTGTTTGGGTATCCTCCGGCAGCGGCACCGGTGTCTTCGTAGGAGATGGTTGGGCGGTATCCGTTCTGGTCGGCTTCGTAGTTCACAACTTGCTTGCGGCCATCGGGAAGCAGGACGTAGTAGCGGCCAACGGTGCGGTCTCCATCGCGAGATTCCATGTGTCCGAAATCGTTGCCTGATTGGAAGTCCTGAACGTTGTACTCGAAGTTGTACTTGGCGGGTTCAGCGTTGGCGTTAGCATCGGCATAGTTGTAACCGGCGGCACCGCCAGCCCCAGCTCCCGTTGGGGCTCCGTACTGGGCGGATGGGGCAGATGGATAGCCGTTGCTGTTTGCGTTATAGTTGTAACCGTTATTCCCATTGGAACCGCCCTGTTGGTAGTTGCTGTATGGCGACGGTGGCTCGGCTGCGACCAGAGCGGCCAGCGAGACGAATGCGACGACGGCGAAGACCTACGGATTGGGGACAAACAGATCCGATCAGAATTACACACTTGTAACAGAGTTGATTCGATTGAATCAGCGAGGAAAGAACGCTAACGATTGAGCAAATGATGCAACGCGTAGAATACAACTGAAGACTGGCACAGTTCGAGCGGAGTCACCTTGCTCAAGCTCAACCCGTCGATTTGCGTCATTGAACAAACGGAAGATCGGTTTTTTTGCTGTTCAAATTTACAAAGCCATGGTGGAATTCCGATCCAAAAGCACAACAGGGGCCTGGCTAATCAAGCTGGTTGGGGCTTGAACCCTGCGAAGATGGGTTGATCGTGTAGCATGCGGTGCACTGTGAGAATGACAGAACAAATTTTTCCCTCCAGCCAGCTTTCCATCCATCAAAGTAAGCCATACGGACGGCCGCGAGCGTGCAATAAACTGCTCATTTGTGCGCGGTAATTACTCGGCTGTGCCGCCACACCAACCGGATCGCGTACGTGATTGTTGTTGTTGTTGTTGTCATTATTATCGCGGTATTGTTGATGCCGGTTAATAATGCGCAAGTGCGAATTTGCAAGAGCTTTTTGCGATTTTTTGCTTGTTTGCTTGCAGGTGTTTTGATCGTTTTGATGAGTCATCTCGCTTGGGATGGATGGATCACAGTGTGCTGGTAATGCACCCAGCGTTCGGTGAGGTGAAATGCGCAAACAGTGGGCAATTCTTTCCGCCCGAAATCGGTAGCAGAGAGTGAAGCCATGGGAGTTGGATTTTGGAATTTTCTGATTGTTAAACAGGCGATTGGTAGAAGTGGATGTTAACAGATGTTTTCTTTTCTTTTCCCGGGGAGCGGATATAATTGCTCGGGTTGGTTTTGTTAAGCGGTGCTTTGGATGAATTTGCACAATGAGGCTCAATTGAGAAGGTGATAATGAGTATCATGGGAATTTTGGCAGATTGTGAAGCGCGGTTTGAAAATTTAAGTAAATTTGTTGGGAGTAATTGGCCGTATCAGTCATTAGGAAACTGGTCATTGTATTTTGAGTGAAAGGAGTAGCAATGAACCGTCGGATGAGTGATTCTAGAAGCAGCCCAATGAGTCCATTCAATGAGCTGGTCAGGTTTGGCTGGGTTGCCGATTTTACCAGTTTAAATCGGAAAACAAAACTGCTGAAATAGTCGTTTATTCACAGAGAAGATGGAAGCAAGTTTATTCCTCGTTTAAAGGACAAACGGAGCTAAAGGAGCTAACCAGTTGTTCTGGAAGAGCCTTGATCAGATTGAAAGCATTTCAATTTTAGGCATTGTTGTGGTAGCAATACTTCCAATTTATAGTTTTCAACAGTAACTTCACTTCGCTTCTGATTGAACACTGGAACAAACTCCGAATCTCGATCTCCAAGCGTCTGATTCAGACACTCGCGAGTGTTTTCCGATTGTTATGTATTTGATGTTTTGAAAGCGCTGCTCTATGGAAGCACTTCTTATTGATGAAGCGTTTCCAAACAAACGCTTGTCTTTAGGGATGATTTTTAGATATTTTCGATTTATATTATTACACTGCTAATAAATTAAAAATTTGCTCTGAATTGTAAATTTAACGTTTATAAATGCTAAAACACTTTTGGGCACATGTATTTGAGCGATTCACTAAAAGTTGTTTATTGACTCATCATGAATCAAATTCTGATTTGAAATATTTCATAAATTTGAATTTGAGTAGTCCACTTCATGCGTTGCAAAACAAACGCATGAGCTTTGAAATCGTGTTTTTGTGCTTCATGAGTGGCCATGTTCTGATGGCCATGACTTCTAATTCTGCTTGTCAACATCTTTGACTCACTTTTGCATCTTCGCATCTATGTTACGAATCAACTTAGCCTTCATTTATTTCCGGCAGATTTCAATCGACTCGCATATTTTCGTAGGCGTTAGGCTTCTGATTATCTGATTATTACATTACATATTACTATGTATCTAAAATTCGGGATGATGAGGGATCATCAGGGCACCCAATTGAAGCAATATAGATGGGGAGAGTGAAGGTTTCAACTCCCTGTTGCCAAAATTTCTAACATTTCGTGGATAAAGGGTGGGCTCTTCTCTCCATTCATCTTCCTGTTGGATGGCTCATTTTCTGACCAATTGACTTATCAAGTTGTTGGAAGGAGATTCTTAACTGTCCCAAGGAAATGAATAGGCGAATTGCCTATCAATCCATCCATTCGTTTTTGGCCCTGCAATCTGCATACAGCGATTTGCTATTGACAATCAGAGGTTATTCAGCTTGATCAAGTTCAACAGTGGGGAGAGCCCTCAGCTATCGGACTAGTTTCCGAGCTACAATGAATGGTAGACCACTCTCATTTATTTTCGGCTAATTTCAATCGACTCGCATATTGTCGTAGGCGTTAGGTTTCTGATTATCTGATTATTACATTACATATTACTATATATCTAAAATTCGGGATGGATCATCAGGGCACCCAATTAAAGCGTTTTAGATGGGAGAGTGAAGATTTCAACTCCTTGTTGCCAAAATTTCGTGGACAAAGGGCGGGCTCTTCTCCCAATTCATTGGGGCATCTTCCTGTTGGATGGCTCATTTTCTGACCAAGTGGCTAATCAAGTTGTTGGAAGGAAATTCTTAACTGTCGCAAAGAAATGAAAAGGTCAGTTGCCAATCAATCCATCCATTTGTTATTGGCCCTGAATACAGTGATTTACTGTTGACAATCAGAGGTTATTAAGCTTGATCGAGTTCAACAGTGAGGAGAGCCCACAGCTATCGGACTAGTTTCCGAGCTACAATGAATGGTAGACCACTGTCATCATCATCACTATCATCATGAGTGGCCATGTTTGCTTCGTAATTGATATGAAGCTTCGAATCTCTCTATTTAATATTCAACCATTTTATTCTTTGCGTTCAAAGAAAAGATTGTTTGAAGCGTTGCCAAACAAACGCTTGAATAAAGGGAGTAATTTAAAGAAAATTTGTAACTGGGAAACGATATCAATTTCCATTTGCTGTGAATCATAAGCTCGTAAATGTTTGATAATTTTACGATGAAGCGTTGCCAAACAAACGCTTGTATTTAGGTAGGAATTTTTAGATACATGCACATTTATTGAGCAACATTTTCAATTTAAGTTTGATGTGCATTGTAAATAATTTGTGAAAGTTTTAATTGTTATAAAATTTTGGGCAGCTAAGTAGCAGCATTGGACTAAACATTGTTTATCGACAGCTCATCTATTCATGAAATAAGGATGAATTGAAATTCTGATTTTATAAATTTTAATATGATTAGTTTTCTTCAAGCGCTGCAAAACAAACGCTTGAGCTTTGAACCATGTTTTTGTACTTTCTGAGTGGCCGTGTTTACTTTGAGTGGTAGTTTTGAGTCCCTATTTAGCATATAAAGTGAAAATTTGTTGTAGTATGATTAAGTAAGGTGGAAGAAGAGCTTTAGTTTACAACACAATCGATTGAAATATTGTGCAGACTGTTCATATCTTTATATTTTGGAAACTATTTAAATAAAGGACTAAAATAAATGTAATTTTGAAATAATTCATAAGCTCCAGTGATGATTTTTAATTTATTCGAATCATTAGCTTTGTAGCATTAAAAATCGGAGCATTGAAAATATTTGCTATAAACATTTAAATTCAAACCAAAACATAAAATTAAATTTTCTGATTTCTAGTAAAATATCGTTCCGAAAATATATCAATATTTTTTTCGTACTTCAATGACTCGCTTTCCTTAAAGTCAAGAAATGACGATGCTTTTATCAATTGCAATAAGCTGTGGTAATTTATGAATATAATTTCAAATCAAACCGGAAGTTTTTTTTAACATCAAATCTGTTTAAACTGTTATGCAGAGACTGTTGTGAGATTTGTGTAAACATCTTGCTGTATCTTTCATTAAAATTTCAGATACAATGTTGATGATTTATGTGATACGAGGGCATTATATTTTGTAAATTCCAATGAAATTATTTTAAGGTAGGTAGTTGTTAAATATATAGAAGTCAAATAACAAAAAAAAAATTAAATTATATTTCAGACTCGATCTTCGTAGATTTGCATTAAACTTTGCCAAATTGTTTGTTTTGGTCAAACACTTGCTATTTTGAATCCTGTAAATCACTCCAAAATGGCGTTTTCAACAAATCATAATTTGAAACCAATAGAAATGGTGATTGAATTCCTTTACAGAAAAAAATATTCAAAACAAAAGTATGTTTAAAGCTTAAGTAACGGAAAAACGATCCTCTTCGATATGTTTTGAATATTTCTCATTTAAAAACTTATGAAATATGAAATCTTCTGTGAATATTTTAAGTTGGATTCTTTAAAATTTACAAAATTCATATAAGAGATTTTGGTTAAATGTTTGAACTTGTAAAATGTTGAAACGGTTTTGAAAGTCTTAAAAATGGTTTTCTGTGCAAACTTTCGCAAAACATTGTTTAATCAAAAAGTTGAAAAGATAGTCCAAAAGTTGTTGTTAAATGATTTTTGTTAATTTTAAAGTGTTTAACTGAGGCATGTTTTATTAGCTTTTTAATAATTCTAAAAATATTTAAGTGGGCAAATTTCAGTCATTTATGTGTTGAACCCATTTCGAATCTTCGTCATTTCAATTGGAAGTGACATTTTCGAGCTATAATTTGTTGAAAAATATCGGTTTTGCCATTTTTTTTTAAAAAGATTCAAAACTGCAAAAATGTGAATGATTGATCATAAAACACAATAAAGCCAAATTTAATGTTAATTAGCATGAAACTGCTCTTTAAATAAAAAAATATGTGGAATATTGCAATTCAAAACATTTTTTAAAATGAAATTTCCGTTATATGACTATTTCCGTTGAGAAACTTTAAACTTCATTAGTAAGACAGTTAAAATTCTTGCTGTTTTTGTTAGGAGTGTTAAGAACCATGAAAGAATTTGGAAGGCTGTTTTGCCTTTGAGAACACAGTTCCTTCCACAATTGAGTTAAAACAGCAGACTGTGAACAATTTGAAACATTTTGGATGAAATCAATGAAAATTACTGAAATTATCGCATTAACAATAAACTGTTCTAATGCGAGTTGATTCGTGTGTTACAAGAACTATTTTCAACAGAGAACTCTGCGGAACATTAGAATTCTATCACTTCACAAATTGCAACAGTTTGGGAAGAAACGCAGCACCGCATTTCAACTTTGCCGCACAAATCCCACGCTTTTCACAGTCGCTTTTCACTCAGTGTCTTTGAACTTATCAGAACTGCCCCATTTCACCGCTCAAACATTGCTTCGTCGCACTTTCGGTAGCCTTTGTATCAGTCTCTGATTCACATGTTTCCATTCCATGATAAAACTCGTAAATACCTTCATGATTGCTATTGGTTTCTGTTTGTGGCTAGAACACTGGAAAAGAACACACTGGTGGTTGTTGCAGTCGATGGTGCTGACGTTGGTGTGTGGTGAGGAAAATATCCTTCTTCGATGGATGATAACTAATTGATCTGGAACGAAACCGACAGAACACAGAAGAATAAACCGTTAGTTAGAAACCGAATTAGCACTAGTATTCTTCGAAGATCCAAACAAAATTCTCAAACACATTTTGGAAAATCCAAACAAAACTCACTTGAGAAGAAAACAGCTCTAGGCTTGAGAAGCTGGTTGTTTGTACTCTAAAGGATGGTTGATTTGTGTATGATTCGATACAATCATCTCGGCCGTATTTATACAAACCACATCGAGGGAATCTGCCTTTGCCTTCGCTTGGGGTCCGAAGCTAGGAGCTCCAGCTGCTCTAGGAGAACGGCCCCCCGAAAATAAAAAAAAAATACTCTCGCATACACACAAACACACATACGCACACGATGGCAAACGCGAGCGCAACCCGTCCTCAAACGCTCGGAAATTCGATGGTAGCGGAATAGATCACCTGAAGAAGCTGCAGCAGCAGCAGCAACAGCCGTCAAGAGCTCTCAAGTGGCCCCCAAGTGGGTGGTGGGTGGGTGGCTGGGTGGTTGGCTGCTCGATCGGAGGCTCGATCGTGGTTGATGCTTCTTCTTTGTACCAACCTACGACAACATGCGGCGGAGCTCCAAGCACATGCGGGATCCATCGAAAGTGAGAGTGAAGCTGCAAGTTCCCGCGCTCGAGAGAGGAGAGCCTGTGCTCGGTCGGGGGTTGAAAGTGAAACGAGTCGAGCACGAGGAAAAAATTAGTTCATATTTTTAGCCCAGACAGTTTTTTTTTCTGCTGTTGTTTCGTGATGCTGGGAAGATCCTCTCTCGGGCACGTCTACCTCGAACGATGCGTTTTGGTGAGAAGTTATGCTTGGATCCGTGAGAGCGAGAGCGCACGTGGAATATCGGTAACGATCGGTTGAAGGTGGTGAAGGTTCTTCTTGGAGCAGATGATCACAGAGAGCGAAAGCACTAACTGACTGACTGACTGACTTGGACGATCCTCGACGGGGTGGCTGCAGGGAGATGACGACGTGTGTGTGTGACGATGACCCTGGTAGCGGTCGTGTGGTGGGTGATTGTGGTAAACGCGGAGGTCACAAGGATTAGGAATCGAGAGCGCTAAATGAAAGGAATTTGCGCACCGTGGGCTCGGAGATGGGTCGTTAATTAAATTTAGTGCAGCAGTTTATGCTGTGCTGTGCATGCATGGGCTGGAGTGATGTAATAAAGATTCACCGGCGGTAATTATAGGTTGACAGTGCGGCCCCAGGTTGAGCATGGAGAATTGTTCGATTATGAAATTCCTCAGTTCATCGAGCGTCGCATTAGGAACAAGATGAACTAATTTTAATACTCAGTGCGATCGTCAATCCATCGTAGCCCAGGGCAGGTTATTACAACAAGCAGATCACTACCTTCTACTAGAGCTTATTAGGCATTGTCGAACCACATGATTTGCTGCTTTTGGACGTTAAGCTTTGACATGATTCCAAAGCCAAAAATGAAGGATTTAGATTATACTAAGACGCTCATTTTGGTGGTACCCGGAACTGTTGTCTTCGTATTAGCTTAAATATGAGCATGATTCAAGCTGGTTTGTCACAATTGTCATATATCAACCACCCTGAAGTGGGAGTTGGATACTTTAACGGCTTTTTTATTTCAGTGATTAATGGTGTAATAAATCTGGCAAATAACTTCTTCAGTGTTTCATACCCAATAGAGATCAACAGCATAATAATTAATTAGTTCATTAAAAAGTGGTCGTCAGCAAAGTTGAAGCTGAGAAATTTTCCTATTAAATTAGACAGCAAAAGGCTAGGACCAGGTGAACAAAATAATTGAATTTCCCATAGTATTTCCCAAATAACCTTTTAAGAGCCAGTGTACGCCTTTTGGCTTTTTGACGCTTTTTATGCGAGTGTTTTGCCGGCTCTCAACTTAGTGTTCTTTGAAGCACTTGCGCAGTTATTAATTGAGTGCTTTCTTTGCCAACCAATACATATGAATTTGTATATTATGAGGCAAACGCAATGATTCTCGATTCCTTGGGAAGACGAAAAACTTTTCAATCCAATAGATTTTTTTTACATCGAACTGCACACTTAGAAAAAGTCATGTAAATTTAGGTTCCCTGAGACTGACATATACGAGCGTCAATTTTGACATAGAATTGAGTCATAATAGATGCAAAATTCAGCTCAATCAAACTTACCTTTCGTCGAGTACTGAACTTTTCAGTCTCGGAGCACTTAATTTTACATGCCATGTTTGTTTATGTCTCATCCTTTATGTCAAAGATGGATTCCGTCACGTGTAAAATTAGGTATTTCTAAGTGTGTGGGAAATGAACGCACTGCATCGGTCTTGGTGATACAGTTCCTTAACTAAGGTGCTCAAATGTTAATTTCTGCAATACATAGAGCTCGCGTATTTAATGCTAAATTTTATGTAAATTTATACGATATTTCATGTAAATTTAAGCGCAATACCGCATACTTTAGCAGTGTTGTACACAATATTAATCAATTTCCTTGTTTTTGCCAACCATAGCTCAAAATTAAACCAGACGAGATTTCACGCGACAAACAGAGGAGTTACTATAACAAAAACCTGGTCCAAATAATGGTCAATGTTACTATACATGTTTTGTATGCACACATAAATATGTTAAATGATGTTTGCACAGTTTGGGAAGTGTTTAAACATTGACATAATTAAGACTCAGATATATATGGATAATGATCTCAACATTATAATGTTTGCGTACACCATACGGGCAACGCCGCACCTACTCTGGAGACTCATTGATTAGCAGTCCTGTCCCCCGATGAATTTGCGTTGTTGTACTTAAGTTGGTTGCTGTGATGGGACAGAGAACTGTCATTGATGTCGTCGGATGACGGGTGCAATTAAACAATTGAAGATCAACCGCACGTGCCAGTTTTCCTGCATTCTTAATACTAAATATAATTGCTAAGTGAATATCTCAACTTTATATAATTTGAGGCTTATTCTAAGTTTATACGGCAAGAGCGCTTCATAAATTTAATATGAAAAACATGAACTTAAAACTAAAAGATTTATAGGTTAACTTATAGGATACCGATCAATTTTGCAAAGGTTACGTCTACATTATCTCGAGGTAAATACTTATGAACTACATCTAGATGAAAAGCTTAAAACTATTCGCTATAACTTAACAATAGAACACAAATTAGTAAACCAGTAGTCGCACAGGGGTCGCATAACCAGGTGTACGTAGCTTTTACATAAGAATCGATCGTATGGAAATTATATGGAATTTACAAACGTGAGTACGATGAAGCTTATGCAACCCCCTATTGATACCTAATTAAAATTGTAATATTGTAGGAAAATTTTAATCGCTGTATAAAATAAACAGGGTAACTATTTCGGAAAAGCGTTTCCATCGTTGCATACGCAACAGTTATTATATGCCTTATTTTCAAAAAATAAAAAAGTTACTGTTTGAATATCAATTAATTTGAGGGGGATCTTTAGGGAAAAACTAAACGCAAGACACCAACCGTCTTAGTTATAAAACAAACGTGATTTTTTTTTTTAAATTAAAGTTTTTTATGAAATTCATATAAGAGAGACTTTTGCAACATCATGAGATGCATATTTTTCTGTGAAACATCGTCTGTAGCTCTTTGCATATAGAAGATATTTCTTATTATATTTAAAAAGGTGATCAATGTGAAGTTGATTTCTGCATCTTCAGAAGTCCTAAAAGTTATCTAAAGGTCAACTTTTCTGAGAAATTTTAAATCACTCTTGAGAAATCTCTTTTTTTAAACTGCATTAGTCAATTAAGGCAAGTTGCGATCAATTCAAGAGAGGAAAAAATAAATAAAATTGCAAGGTTGCTTGAAAGTACCTAAGCAACAGCTTTGCTGAATACGGTATATTTTTTATTTCTGAAAATTTAAAAGATATTTTTTTTTTAAATTTTGACAATATGATTCTTATTTTTATTCAAATGAAAAAAAAAACATAAAATTTACGTAGGACCAGTGCTGAGATTTGTCATTGTCATTGACAGACTTTTGCGCGATATTGACAAAATTGTTTTTCACAAAGTCAATGATAGACTTGATCCCCAAAAAAATCTTTGTCAAAATCTCATTCATTTTTTCGTCAATGACAAAGATTCACCTGGTAACAGAAAGTGTAATTTCTTGCATTCTGAGACACATTATTGTTATCCAAGCGGTTCAGGACGTAGATGCTTATTCACTTTAATGGCTCCATGTAATTGTTTTGCTCAAGCCATTTAATTTCATTTCAAATTTAGCTAATAAACAAATCAGCACATGTTCGTCACTAACAAAAATGCTACTGACAATTGACATGGTTTGCCTTGATGATGACTGTTAGCTCAAACGACTGACCAAAGCAGAATTTTGAGTATCACCGTGTATTGTAAAAATTTTGCAGCACTGCGTAGGACTACTTCTTTCGGGAAGGGTGTCAATCTTTCCCGGGAAATGCAACGAAAATTGGTCAGACTTTAAATGTTAATAACTTGGCCAGTAATCGATGGATTTTGATGATTTGTGTGTTGATTTTATAAAATTTGTGTGATATGTCACACATTCTAAATGTTAAATATTTAAATAGCTAAAAATTAAGAAATATGGAACATTCAAATTTCTTATACATTTTCTTCGACCGCAAGGTGCTCACCCCTAACACAGCCATCAGACAGTTGATCCCTAATAACACAAGCCGAGGCCGCATAATCATTTAGCATTGCACGTTGGACGGGTTGACCTTGAACTTGTTTGCTGCAGCGTGGACATTGTAGCATTTTTTTCTATTCATACACCTACATCAGCTAAATACAGAAAAAAATAAGGGGCATAGAATGATAATCCAAATGCTTAAGTAAGCTAAACGTAGAAAGTTTGACTGCAGTCAGCGTTTGGCTGCCGAGTGGTTAACAAGGGTGTTAGCTGCGTTGCACACTGAAAACCAAACTAACTCAAAAAGTGAATAACTTTTACTCAGTTGTGAGTCACTTTCATTCATTCGTATGAGAATTTCTCTGAAAGCGTAGGTTTTTCAACGCATGAGTAACCTACGATTTAAAAAAAATCTCCATACGAATCAGTAAAAGAGACTCATTCTCAGAGTAATATTCGTTTTCAATGTTCAATTACCCGAGCAAAGTAGAATAACAACCCGAGTAAATTTAATCTTTACATTATACTA